CCTAGGCTTTTTTTTTTAATTATTTTTTCTTGCAAAGTAATTGTAAAAGTCAATGTATATGCAATAAGCTAACGAATTCCCTCTCCTGGAAGGCCACCAGCAGTGTGTGCAGGGCTGTGCTGTGAGCTGGAGCTGACACTGTACGGCCAGGGCTGGCCAGCAGATCAGCAGATTGCTCCCAAAAGTACCTTCTGGGAAGTCTGACTGCAGCCACCTTTAGATCAATTTGTTACTTTCTCTTTTTGGCCTTTTTCACTGTAGCTTTTGAAAGAAGCAGTTTGCACTTTCAGCAGGATGGGAGCTGGAACGGGGCTGTGCTGCATCCTCCAAGGCAGGGGAGCAAATGGCTCCCCAGCAAACGGCTGCGCTTTCTGGTCAGGAAACTCCTGTCCTTAGAGACTGCAGTCAACTGAAACGCAGGACCGAGCCGGGTGTTAAGTAACTGATGGAGTGGGTTTGCTGACAGGTTTTCTTCTGCCAGGTTTTGAAACCAAACGACAAGGTGAGGTAATGGAAGGTGGTGGTTTCACAGCATTATGGTGCGGGCACAGAGCATCTGTGTGGGAGCCATTCCAGGGAGTGTGGGGGAGCAGGGGAGAGCGAGGCGTTGGGGTCCCAGTGACCCCAAATCTGAGTTTGGATTGCCTGGCACATTAAGGGCATGCTTGCTACTGGGTGATGGTGATGGGTGAGAGTAGGTGGGAAGGGAAACAGGGACACGTGAGGAGACAAGGAGCCTCAGAGCAGGGCTGGAGCACTGCAAGAGAACATGGAGCCTATTGCTGGGAACAGCACTATGGTGGTGATGTCTGAGGGCTGTTACTGGGAGCAGCGTGATGGCAGTGCCCACCTACACCTCTTTGTAGGAGCAGCATGATGGCAGTGCCATGGAGGCCTGTTTTTGGGGGCTGCATGATGGAGGTGACAACTGAGGCCTGTTTTTCAGGGTGCAGGTACAGCCTGGGGCACCTTGTGCTGAGCGGGATGGAAAGGGAATGAGCAGTGCCAGAGGGTGAGAACTGCATCTTGGAATGAATATCCAATGTTTTGTTATTCCTGAGCGGGAGGACAGGCTCATTCAATAGATCCTACAGACCTTTGGTACTGAGGTGTTTACAGCTCTGGACAATTGTTTGCATTTTAACAAAGCTCAGAGTTTAAAGGTGTACGTGAAAAAATGGCGCAGTGCTGTGCTGCTCCTGTCGGTGGTTTTGTTCCTGGTGCAACTGGTCTGAGCCCATAGCAGCTCTCCTTGAAAAGCCAGCACTAACTTTCCCCTCTTGCAAGACTTTCTGATAGTCTTTCCCTGTGTTTGCAGTAGGGGCTGGTGTCAGCCTGAGCAAAGCCACAATACACTTTTTTACATCTCTCTCTCTTTTAAGGCACCTTACCAATAAGCTCCATTGGCACCTCTGCTTTTGTTCCTTCTCTGCTTCATGCAGAGGCCACACACACATTGACTCGCAGTCCAGAAATACTGCACAGAGCGCAGAATTTGTTCCAGTTAAAGCTCGTTTAAAAGCTGCCTGGGAATCAAGTTACTTGAGTACGCGGAAATAAAACGTGTTTATTGAAATTTCCTAGCTAATTCTGTGTGCGAAAGGTAGTTGCATCATTTTGCCAAGCGGCGGAATGCTTCTTAAGAAACAAGTTTATTTCATGCTCACAGGTTTTTATTTATTTGTAAGGTGGGAGAGCAGCGGTTCTGTGCTCTCATTGAACTCTGATCTTTCCTTTGGCTTTGCTAGAAAGGGCTTCAGAGCACGAACTCATCTTGCAGAAAACAAACCTTGTTTTTGTTGTTTTTTTTCAGATGGAAAGATTACGTAATGCATCTGTTAGGGAAGTGCAGTATCCCCCTAAGACAAGCAGGCTGCAGGTATGCAGGCCTGGGTCAGGCACTTCTGCTTTGGTGTCATCACTGCACTGAGAAATTGTCCTGCAATAGGAAATCAAAAACTGCAGAAAGTCGTGTTGAGGACTGTCATAGATCCAACACATGCAATCCTGAGAAAGGATGCAAAAAAAAAACAAAGCTTCTGAATTTGTACTGAACTTGTCCTGAGCAGAAGCAGAGTTATTTGTTATGGCAGATTGTTAGAGCAGCTTCTGGGGGAACTGGGATGCTGAAGTGTGCCGATTCAGGATAAAGAACAGGAGGGGAAAGGTGGGTTGTGAGCTGTGTGATGCACACTGCTGTGCTCCTGCACTGTCCCGTGCTCTGGATGGTGGCAGCAGAGCAGGACTGTGCTGGGGGTGATGGAGCACGTGTGAAGGCAGGCAGTTCCCTTCCAGCTCGCTTATTACAGCAGATAGCAGATTGACCTCTTTGTTTTTTATTTCTTTTCCTTTGTATGCATACAGCATGAAAGAAAACCTTGTAATGCCTGTTTTCTGAGGGTTGCTTTTAACAGCTCCTGCACTTAGTGCCTAAAACTTTGTCTCCTCTCTTTGCCTTTCCTTCCACCCCCAATAAATTTGTCACAATGAGGCAAAGTAGGAGCCCCGGAGAGAGAGTTCCCCAGCTGTGTGTGGCTCAAGCAGTGTCACCTGTCTGCCCTAAATTGATGGCACTTTGGGGAAGGGGAAAGAAGTGGGAAAGAGAATAGTGCTGCTTGTTCTGCTTCCTCCAGCACATGTTCCACGTGGGGCTGTGTCTGCGGGGATGACTGAACCGTGTCAGCTCTTGGCCAGAGAGTTCACTGGACACTGATATCAGAGGTGGAGAATGGCACTCAGACACGGTCTGCTGTTTTTGTTTTGCATGAAAGGACTGTGCAATGCACTTCTGTCTCTGTGCTGTTGCATCTCCTTGCACTCTGTTGCTGCAAGGCTGGGAAAGGGGATTTTACATACCTTTGAGTGCAGTGCTCAGGTATGGGATCTCTGAGTTAATGCTGCTTACCTTATTGTACTCATGTGCTTGCAGAAGTAATGCATGGCCCATGTTGAATTGGTGCAGTAACTGGGGTATCTCATAAGATGGTCACAAAGTGTGGGAAATGTCCAGTGGTGCACATGGGTTGCAATCCTCTATGTTGTTTACATTGAAAAAATGAGACTTGTAGAGTACGTGGTTGAGATCAAGCAAGGAAGTAAAAATGAGGATATTTTTTAAGTAATATTGATTTGGGGCTTGTTAACTATGGCAGAGCTTGAAAATGTAATATCTTTTTATATATCAGGTCTCATATCCAGGGCTAGATATTCACACTGCTCTTGTCTCCAGACCTGGAAGTGTACACCTCTAAATCCCACTTGTCCATTTGTACAGTTCCTCGCTAGCCCTCTGTATTGTAAAATGAGCACTGAATTCTTTGGTCTGCTGAAATTCCCTCGTATTTCACGATTAGGGTTTGCTTTGCTTTGCTTTAAATGTGGGCTTCCTTTTTAAATATAGTTTTCCAAGTTGCCGGCCGTACCAGATTGTTTATATTTTTTAAAAGCCTTCTGCTTAGCCGTTATATTGCTCTTTATAGTACTGCTTAACCACATTGGTTTCTGTTGCTCTTTTTTCTTGCATAAACTTAGCTGGGATGAATTTCAAATGTGGTTTATCCAACTGTTAAGTATTTCCCACTTTTCTGCAATAGATTTCACATATGTTACAGAATTCCAAACCAAGATCTGGTGGACATATTGCCCTATTTTTTTTCCCTCAAAGTCAGAAATATGGTGTTTTTATAGCCTTACAGTGATGATATTTAGGTCACTGGCTCCAGCGTGCTGCCTAGCTTCAAATCCATTTGTCATATTTAGCTTATTTCCAAGGATTAAGATAACTGTGGTCCATATACATAGGAAAAAAAAAAAAAGACTTAAAGGGGAAAAAAGTTGATTCTTTTGAGTTGGAAGCTGCAGAAAGGACTTCTTTCCTCCAGAGGTCAGGCTGTGGGGTCACATGGAACACATCTCCATCCCGTTGCTGAAGGTGCCAGCATTCAGCCCCCACAAAAAGTAACCAACTGTCTAAAATTAACAACATCTGCTTTATTTTTACTGCAGTCCTTTACTCCGAGTTATTTGGGAATGGAGTCTGTAGCTGAGTGGTGAATTTAGGATTTAGCCTTTTTTTTTTTTTTTTGGTGTTATGTGGAAATATTGCAAGAAGGGGACGGACAGACAGAGAAGATTGTGCTGTTGGTTTATGCACTGGGAGGTGACACATTCAGTCCAGTCTGGGTCAGTGCAGTGGCATTCTGGAAGCAGAGTCCTGAGCAAAGGAACTGGTGGGGAGAGAACTTGGATGATGTGTATGTATGTCATAGGATCGTTGAGTTGGAAGGGACCTTAAAGGCCATGTGGTCCAACTCCCCTGCGATGAACAGGGACACCTGCAGCTTCATAGAGTGCTCATGGATATTTATATACATCTTTTGGAGAGGAGACAGGGAAGAATGGAGGGATATCTCCTAATAATTTTAGGAGAACAGATTCCAGGAAAAGAAAATTCTGTATTCAAATAAGGAGAGACTTAAATGGAAGAAAGAGAATTGTGATGGCAGTGTGGTACTGTATATATTGTCACTTGGCATTAAGAGTGACTGAAGCGTAACCACAGGCTGAAGTGTAGGGTTGGCCAATGGTTGGGATAGTCATAACTTCTTTCAGCAAAATGGGAAAATCCAGTATCTGCAGACAAGAAATAAACCCGATGTGGTGAAGATTGATAATCTTCCCTGAATTTGGGCAATTAGGATGTGAGTACTGCGCACTACTGCTGCTGTTGTGCGTAATGTTGTGGTAGAGGCATGAATGCTTTCGAGGAAGAACAGTGATATTTTGACTGCGAGATAGAATTGAAAAGGTTGTAGACCTCTGTTGGACTTAATTTGGGAGCCCATTTTCTGGAAGCGTGATGCTTTGTTCTGTACTGCCCTGTAGCTCAGCCGCCTCGCTATTCCAGACCATGTGATGGACACACACATGAAGTTATTTTCATTTCTGTAATAAACAGAACTCTAACTGTAGCCCCTTTTTTTTGCTCTTTTTCTTGACAGAGAGAACTCGATGCCACAGCAACAATATTGGCCAACCGGCAAGATGAAAGCGAGCAGTCCAGGAAGAAACTTATCGAGCAAAGTCGGGAGTTCAAGAAGAACACTCCAGAGGTAAGGAGCTGAGGTCCTTATTTAGGGTTCTTTTAGGGCTCTTCTCTTAATGTTTTGTTCTCACGATGTTCTCTGCTGAGACTGCTTTGTGTTGTCAGTACTGAAATAGGAGCTGACTTCTCAGAGCAAGTCTGAGCATCAGCCTTCAGTCAGGCTCGCTCTAAATTTTGTCATAATCTAAAACATGGAGAACTGCAAAAACACAAAAGATTCTTCAGTTAAACCTAACTCTCTTAGCGCTTGGGTGTAGCAAGTGATGTTTTGCTGCCTAAATAAATCTACATCAAGGGCACGACTTCAAAGACGCTCATTTTTCCACCAGAAATCAAACGAAGTTCAGTTGTTGATTTCACTGGAAATGCAGCAAGGTCAGCACTGAGCTCCGGGCACAGCTCTGCACCACGGCCGTGCATTGCACTCCAGGTGGTGTGCAAAGGGGGTTGGAGGTGCTGGGCCAAGCTCCAAGAGCTGAGTGCTGCTTGGATGGAGAGGATGGCTTTCAAACTCTTCCATGGCTATGATTGCGTGTGCAGCACATATCTGTGCACGCACATGTGTGCACACACAACGTGCATGGTTGTGTATAAGATAAAACTCATTTTATTTTCTGTATTGAACGCATAGCAGTGCATAGGGCACTTTTTGCTTCGTTCTGTTTGCTTCTTTTGCAAAGAAGTTTGCCGGCAGTTTGTTCATCCAGAAGTGTACCAGGGTTGCAGGGTGCAAAGCCCCTGCAGAGGGCTGGTACACAAGTGTTGGTTCTCTGCAGGTACCGGTCAGGAATCAGTTTATTCCCCTTGCAGAGGAGAACAGTCTATTGGGGATGGAGAGAGGTAAAAGAATATGAAGGTATAGGAAACTATACAAAATCCGGAAAATAAACTGATATCTGGGGCCACATTTTTTGAATTGTTTGCTAGAAGCTTAAGTTCATTCTCCAAAACTTATTTGAGTTTCCTGCTTCCTTCCTTTTTTTCCTGTAAGGAGAACTGCAGGCTGGGGCTGCAGCTGCCGGCTCCTGAGGGATAGCAAACTCATGGATTCATCTCAGGGTGATTTCTTGAGGCCAGTTTTGTTTTTACAGAGCAGGTTACTGGCAGGGAAAAAATCCAGCACTGCACTTTTAGGAGCATTGTGAGAGGGCTGTGGTGACTCAGTGGGAATTGATGCGCGGAGGAAAAAGCTGTGTTATCTGTAGTCACTTCAGGAGATACAGAGAGAAAATGATTTGCAGTTAGTTCTGTTAACAAAACAAGATGAACACCTTCTGCTGCTAAATCATTTCGTGGTAAAGTTTTAAAAACACTTTTACAAAATATCATTATGTAGCCTTCCATATAGTACTTTTCACTCAGAGGGTGGTGAGGCACTGGAACAGGTTGCCCAAGGAGGCTGTGGATGCCCCATCCCTGCAGGCATTCAAGGCCAGGCTGGATGTGGCTCTGGGCAGCCTGGGCTGCTGGTTGGTGACCTGCACACAGCAGGGGGTTGGAACTGGATGAGCATTGTGATCCTTTTTAATCCAGGCCATTCTGTGATTTTATGATTTTGGAAGGGATTTGAGGGGTTTCATTCATTCAAAGACAAGATACAAAATGATGGCTCTGAACATCCCTGAGATTTGGGGGAGTTTGGATCTATGCTAGATTCCACATCTTTATCCAGTGCCTGGGACTCCTAGTGTGGACTTCTGGTATTCTTTCTTCTTCTTTCCCCTCTGCTGCGATGTTCTTTCTGCAGCCTCATTTCCCAACATCATCACCATCTAACTCCTCTTCTTTGACAGAATTAAAAAATGAAAATGGGATCAAAAAACTAGAAAAGAGTCTCTGAACTGAGCACCTCTAACAGACAGATGTGCAGGTATTGCTCAGCTGAGCAGGGTCACCTTGTCCCATGCAAGGTGACTGCAGTGGTAGGTGTGGGCATTTCCACCAGAATAAGTGAGACAGTGCTCTGCTGTTCTTGCTGGAAGACTTCACCAGCATTCTTCCTCACAGAAGCACTGCTGTGTTTATCTTCAGCTGTTTTCTGTCCTCCCCGTAAGAAATAATGCTGAGTAATATTCAAAGCTTAGGCCATTTTGGAGGGCTGGAGGATGATGGAAGGCAAGGTTATGACACCTTGACCTGATTTTTTTCCAAAACTTGAGCTTCATCAAAAAACTTGTGCCATATGATAAAACCTTTCCCTGAGGTGGGCAGGAAGCCACTGGCATTTCCCAGCTGACCCATTCATGTTACTGAACTTCAAGCATACTATTTTAATAACAAAGAGAAGTCTAGTAGAAAACTTGCTTGCTTGCAGAACTGTTCTTTGAATAAATTAGTCAGTATGCAGCTTAATTAAAATTTCCAAGATGAAGTAACATCTTTCTTCCTATAAAGAATGTGGATGGAATCGCTAAATGTAACAACCTGCTCGAGTCCTGCTTTCCATTTTCATTGCTCATTCTGGATGTATCCCCACTGGTGCAGTGGTTTGGTCTGCTGCAGCATCTCTTGCCCTGAGCTGTTGCTATTCCCACCATAAATCAGGAAACAAATGTTGTTAGCCTTGAGTTTCCTATCCATTATTGTCTGAGATGTCCTCTAGACTTTCCACAGTGCCATAAGCAATCTCCTGCATAGCAGAAAGAACTTTAAAAACTACTAATAAAGTTGAGGATGTTTATGCTGCTGTTTTAGAAGTCTTGAAAAGATGTGACAGATCCGTTGGGATTATTTCTGTTTTCTTTGCAAATTATCACATTGCAAAAGAAATGTAATAATATTTTCATGCTTCTAGGAACAACTGCAGGGCTCTGTATTGCAGAGTATTAGAATACCATTTCTGAGTTGGCATACTGGGACGTAAATCTAGGAGGCAGCATTTCATGGTGCACAGAAGATGGAGAGGTGGTTATTACATGCAGAAACTTCAAGAAAGAGTTTGTCATTTCAAAAATACTCGTTACCCATCGCAGCCTTGAAGAGCCTGTGTCAGGCCCTCTTATCACAGATGCTTTGGGTATGTTCCTTCTCTGTTTGTTCCATCTCTGTTTGTTCCATTTCTGTTTGTTCCATCTCGAGCAGCTACCATGGAATGCTGACGAGATTATGTGAAACACTGATGTTATGTGGCTGTCACTTGGAAGACAACCCCAGATCTGTCACGTGAGCCACCACCCTGCATCACGCAGTTGTGAGCAACTGCAGTATTCATGTATTGTGAGGCTCTTGGTCTAATTCACCATGTCCTCATGTGCTGATTTGATGTGAAGACGTGAGTGTTGGAAGGACAGTCTGAGATTTGAAAGATCCCAAATAATTCTGGTGGCACAGATTAATAGTTTTTGGAGCAAGGTGAAGATACTTTGAAATGCTGATTGATAGTTTTGCCTTGGTTTCTACCCACGTGCCTGCTTGAGCAACTACTTTTTGCTTACCTTTTTACTGTTCTGATCTTTTGAAAGCTGATCTAGCACGTAGAGCAGTGCATGCTTTTAATCTTGTTAACAGCAATAGTGAAAAACACCCAAATAAGTAAATAAGTAAGTTGTTAAGGGCTTATGGGGAAGGAAGACAATGGTATTTAAAGCTGTTTAATTTATAACTCTGTATTCTTTTCTGTGTCCCTCTGTTTCCAAATGTCTGGAAAAGAAAATAAGCTTTAGTCCAGAAGACTAATAAACATTATGAAGTTTTCTAGTGTATTATTAACTTAGTTGTCAATCCACGGTCATTATGTAGCTGCATGTTTGAGTTTGATTCCCAAAGCAAGATGCATTTCAGTGAGGAGAACGATGCATTACAGCATGCCTTGCACAGCAGGTTATTTAGTATAGCAAGTTATATTGTGCTTAGGTGTGTCTGCAGCTCTCAGTGTCTAATGAGGTCTGGCTGTTGGTGTGTCTGTGACATGAACTGGATTCCTGTCCAGTTTTAGACCTGAGGAGCAGTAGAGTCAGGACTCCTGGAAGGTTGGGTGAGGATGGGCACTGCTGTGCACACAGCTGGACGAGGAGAGATTGTGAGGTTGGCTGGCACTGCTGCTTATATGAGTGCCAACACCTGAACAAACGCTTTTTGGCCACTTTTTAATTCTGATTGTAACAGAAGACAGTTCATTGTTTCTGATTTAGCCATCTGAACCAGCTAATTGCTGAGCTATGCTGACTGTGGCCGATCTCACTTGCAACAAAGATGGTAAAATGGAGGGTCCACATCCCAGGGGCCATAGGACTCCCCTTGCAGCTCGTGGCTTTGGTCTCTTTGGTCTTTTCCTGGGGGGATGCTGAGCTGGGGTTTCTTTGCTTTTGTTGCCCTTCAGTGTTGTTCCTGGGCTTCAAATGTGCTCTGTCTGTGAGATTTGGAAAGCCAAGATTACCTTAAAATGCTCAAATGGGCAGCTGTGTTTTGCAAAGCAGATTAAAGATTGGATCAGCAGTTAGGGAAGGACACAGGGGAACCCGTAAGCACAGACAGCAGAAGGGTGTTCTCAAAGCAGAGCTTTTAAATGCCCTAGGAAATGGAATATTGAAAGATGCCAGAAATCAAACACCCTGAGCTTCCTTCACTGCCCAACCCGTCCTGCTCCTGTGTGTGACCCAGCCCCCTCTAAACATTATCTGTGATTTATTCTTGAGATGATGCATGAAGGTGGTACATGTTTGTAAGACCCACGTTTGTTTTACAGAGATGGCATCCCAATGGCAGCTGTAATTAAAGGAGAGGAGCTCAGTTATTATTAAACGAGGGCTCCGTTTATGAAAATCCAACCTGCCAGAATTCTTAAAGCCTCCAGTGGTTGTGGTGCAGTCTATCGAGTTAGCCAGTCTGCAGATAATCAAATCAAGCTTAAAGAAAAGAAAAACAAAAATAACTGGAAGGAGAGTTGTGACATTCTAATTGCAGGTAGTGAAGTGTGCTGGGATCCTGACAGCTCTGCATGGTCAGCTCGAGCCTGCTGTGCAGCACGGTGAGAAGGATCCCCTGCTTAGCAAAGCTCCCGCAGCCGCA